ATTTTATAACGAAAAATTGTCCGTTCGACATTAATAACTGCTAACAAATATCCAGCACCTACAAAAATTATTTTTTAAATTATTATTTAAATTTACATACTAAAAATTTTTAAAAGATTCTTAAAAATTCAATGTTTTAAGGCAACCTTACGATAACTACGTCGGCGGTGTCCTTGGAATGACCGGCAGTCAGTACCGACGAGTTAATGGATACAGTAATCTTTACTGGGGTTGGGGAGGAGAAGATGACGATATTCATGTAAGGTATTGACTGAGAGTGTATTCTTTATATAAGGTTAAAGTCTTGCTTTTCTGAATATATGAAAGATATCATGGCATTAATTAAATAAGATAAACGGAAGTATAATTTTCGTTTCACTGGATATGGTACTTCCTCTCGCTCCTCGCTGTCTATGATATTTGAAAATCTGCAGTGCATTGATGCATTTATCATCATTTTAGCGACTAGAACAGTAAGATGATATAATCGGTCTCAGCGATATTTCAGGAGCGAATAATCGGTTGGTTTGATGTGCCAGAGTATGTTCATGCGCACATAACACGTCCATGCATAACGCTATGAATGGCGTGCTTAAGTTGGTATCTTTGCATATTGTTAAAGTTATTCGCCTGTGCAAAATGACAAAATTTTAAAAAAATGGGAATTCTTCCGTTTCTCCATTGAGTTTAGCGGTGAATTTCTGTCTGTCTTTTCTGTAAGTTTTTAGTCAGCGGTCTAAGTAGTAATAAAGGCGGACATTAAAAAATCAGGATTCATTGTATTGAGTCGTTGAGTTGTAGTAACTCAACAAATTTTGTGAGCTATTTCGAGGGTCCATGGCTAGCGTATGAAAGGCGCTCGGGCGTACGGACTCAGGATTCAGGCTCCTTTGTTAGAGCATTTTTTTCTAGCATAGTTAGCAAGGTACTGTAACCAAAAGTCGACCCATCAGAGGATTATGCAAGTTAAATCCTTCCGCTCAGAATTGTATTCGAAAATTGCGGTTGATGTTTGGATGTCGCTGTGAACATTTGCTTTTTTCCCAGCTTCCTATACTTGTGACTGTTAATTTATAACGGTCCTCGTCCAAACTTCTGCTTATCTTTCAAAATTTGGACGTGTCTACGTTTTGAACCGCTACTTTATTTATTTAACATTTATTCTTATGAACCCTTATTGCCTTATGATAATTGGTTGATTAAGTTAATCTGTTTAGGATTAAGGAAGCAGGAATGTACGTTTTAAGGCATCCGAGTCAGATTGGCAGGTACTCAATGATTAAACATGACCGGGATCGAGGAAACGAGGTGAATCCTTGTCGAATGCATCTGTTAAATTCCGCCCGAGATCGGTTGAAAACCGACGGCTTGTCCGACCTTGCGTATAGGCTCATTAGAATCGACCGACAAACACTATACACCAAGTTGCTG